ATGAAAACGTTTCCAAACACACACTCGGGACATCTGTTGAGCAGGATCAGCTAAAAGAGATTTATGTGATCAAGCACAGTTTTTTTTTACTTTAAGCTAAATTTTTTTTTAAAAAAATTAACGCTGATAAATTGTTTCCATAATTATTTTTAACATTAGACAAACATTGCTTCAGTCCATCACATAAAACACATCTATTGTGTGCCAAACACAGAGCACCAACTTTATATTTTCAGACCCAACGTGCCTAAAAGTCAGTTTTATGTCCGTGTTTATTTCTCAGCTCGTGAGCACAGAGCAACTGTAGCCGGGTCAACTGATGTGGATGCAACATGCCGACCATCTGTATGCAACTGTTAATCCACGGAAGGATTAATCTGCTGCTCTTGGGGAAATATGAGTGGTGTCTTACAGGCATAATACGCTCCAATTTGTAGAAACAGTGCATAATACTCTCCCGAGGAAAACAACAAAAAGCAATGAGATGACAGTTGTGCTGGAGAGGAGAGTTTAATGACTACAGCTCTGAAATGGAAGGATTTGGTATTAATGTGTAGCTTTGTATGTAAAATGTTGCAACAGTCATCTCTTATAAACAGTAGATTTTCTCTGAAAACGGAATTAAATTACTTCAAAAGACTTGATAATGCTATAGTGGTTTATTTTATTATATTGCTGGTATAAGTGATAAATAATGAGTATTTTATTTCACTATAAAGCTTTACAAAAATGTCCAGCTCCAATGACGTGGGGTTCTCTGGAAAGGTTATGAACATTCAGTATCTTACCTGTTGCAGATAGCCCTTTAATAGATGTGCCTTGGATTGCAGAAATATTGCCCTTTTTTCCATTGGCTGGACTCTTTCCCCTTTGAATTGTGGTTTTAAAGCCTAACCATCAGGTGATCCCACCTGGGTTTTATTGACGAGCTAACGGCTAATCTGGGCGGAGCCAAACCTAAAACATCTTTAATAAAAAAACATTTCTCAGTGATTCACAGAAACACATCTATTGCATCTCTGTGAAGGTAAAAATGTGGTAATGTTTTTTTTCTTGTGTCTATTTACAGAAATTTGTCCTTAGATGTTCATCTTTGAGAATGCCCAATTCAAGATGGCCACCACCTCGAACATTAAGAAAGAGCTGTAACAGTCAGTTTTGCAGCTATAGAGTTAAGATTTTGTGTGGTACTACCRAAGAGTCCTAACTTTGTCTTTTTAAAGCACTAGCCTCTTCACTGTCATCAGACAATATAAACTTATAACAAAAAGGAAATATTTGTTTATTTCTTTGTTGTAACAATGCTTATAGGCAATAAATCTGTGCTTCATGTACCAGAAGCTCAAAACAAGTGTCAATGACAACAGTTAAATAAGCTGTTTGGCAGAAAAGATTTGGTAAATGTTTCATGTGTGCTACCCACATACTCAGCTCTYCTGCATGTWCCTTACAAATGTGYCACCATTGCTGAAGGGAGGCACATAAGAGACACGTTGATCCTAACACTGTATAAAGCAAATGACTAAAATATAAGGCTGCATCTAAAATTCAGTTAATCAGTCAAAAAACTTCCTGAACTACTTTTTGTGCKAGTTTACTACCATGAAATAAGGGTTATGTCGAATATAAAGCAACCAGATGATGAAAGTAGACTCAGACACAAATGTAAAAATGGTAAGTGAGATTTATTTACAGTGTAATGGTTTTGTCCAGGGATAATCTGTAGGAGGGAAGGTAAATGGTCAATATCTTGTTCAGGATTGTTGAGTTGATGAATAATGCAATGTGTGTTTCTTTCATACAGGTGAGGAGATTTTCCAGGAGCGAGGAGAAGAGGAGGGAATCCAGGGAGCCCAAGGTGAGAGTGCCAGAGGTGAGTATATACACGGTGAATCCTTCAGGTGAGTATTTACAATTAAGGTCACACGTTGGCAGGCAGGCAGGCAGGCATGTAAACAGGACCAGGATGTTTTCACTAGGGCACAGGAAATAAACAAGGACTTAATAACTTTCTACAGAAAGGCTTTACAAGGAGTCAGGAGCCATACCATAACAAGAGCTATGTTCCAGCGAAGATCTGGTATCAGCAGCTGCCTTAAAAAGCCCAGGAGGCTCATTAGGTGATGAGCTGCAGCTGTCGTCAATGAACTGCCTGGCTAATCAGACAGGAGGAGCAGATTTCCCACATTTACTTACCGTATTTATTCAAGTATAAAACGTAAAATRGAATCCATAAAATCATCCATAAAGTTGGGGTGTAGTATTGTACTCGGATAAATATTTTTGCTTATGTYTTTTAACTGAAATATRGTAAAAATTATTGAGTCCGGAAATGAGACCGCGTTGTAAAAAGCAGTTGAAACGAGCTTACCTGTGATACTCCTCCGTTCATCAGAGCGAGATAACAGATCCAGGCAGGTGACATGATGTGAAAAAAGGGGGAAAAAAGCAGTCCTGCACCTTAGTAATGATAACGAACTAATGACATTAGCATGTGACCGAGCCGCTCCTGGAAAATCAACAAACACATGTTCGTCTGTAATGGCTGCCATCTACCGGTGTTCTAAAAAAGTTTGTATCCCTGAAAAAAGTTTCCCCACCAGAGGGGGTGCTCGTGAGTAGGACGTAATCTGCTTTTGCCCCAGAAGATGGCCCAAATCTCATGTGAAGTCTCTGACTTTTGTGTTGGAGCATCCTGGTGGACTACGTGTAAAATGCCAGAATTCAAATGATGCTGCTACAGCTGATATATATTTTTTTGTCAAAATACCTTTTAGTACTTATG